ACCCTTTGACCAATATCTCCCCAGCTCCACTGCCCCCAGCTCCTGGCAACCACCCTTCTACTCTGCTTCTATGAGCTTGAGTATTTTATTTTATTTTATTTTATTTTGAGATGGAGTTTCACTCTGTCACCCAGGCTGGAGTGCAGTGGTGAAATCTTGGCTCACTACAACCTCTGCCTCTCGGGTTCAGCAATTCTCCTGCCTCAGCCTCACGAGCAGCTGGGATTACAGGTGTGTGCCACCACACCCAGCAAATTTTTTGTATTTTTAGTAGAGACAGGGTTTCACCATGTTGGCCAGGATGGTCTCGAACTCCTGACCTCAAGTGATCCACTCACCTCAGCCTTCCAAAGTGCTGGAATTACAGGTGTGAGTCACTGCGCCCGGCTGAGCTTGACTTTTTAGATTCCACATATGAGTGAGATCAGGCAGCGTCTGTCTTTCTGTGTTTGATTTATTTTACCTGGTATAACGTCTTCTAGGCTCATCCATGTTGTTGCAGCTATCCCTTCTTTAAGGTTGAATAATATTCCACTGTGTGTGTGTGTGTGTGTGTGTGTATACATACCACACACGTACCACATTTTCCATACCCATTTCTTTGTCAGATGTTTACGTTGTTTCCACATCTTAGCTATCTTAAGTGTTCTTACCACAGAAAGGAAGGAGGGAAGGGGAAAGAAAATGGCAACTATGTGAGGTGATATGTTAAGTGGCTTAACTGTGGGGGTGACTATTTCAAATATATGTCAAAAACATCAAGTTGGAGGCCTACGTGGGGGGATTGCTTGAGCCCAGGAGTTTGAGACCAGCCTCGGCAACATAATGAAACCCTGTCTCTACAAAAAAGTATATATATATTCAGGCATGGTGGTGCACACCTCTAGTCCTAGCTACTCAGGAGGCAGGAGAATCACGTGAGCTCAGGAGTTCCAGGCTCCAGCGAGCCATGATTGCCTTACTCCTCTCCAGCCTGGGCGACAGAGTGAGACATTGTCTCTATAAATGAATGAATACATAAGTAAAACATCAAGTTGTAAACCTTAAATATATAAATATAAACAATTTCAGGCCGGGCACGGTGGCTAAGCCTGTAATCCCCGCACTTTGGGAGGCCGAGGCGGGTGGATCACGAGGTCAAGAGATCGAGACCATCCTGGTCAACATGGTGAAACCCCATCTCTACTAAAAATACAAAAAATTAGCTGGGCATGGTGGCGCGTGCCTGTAATCCCAGCGACTCAGGAGGCTGGGGCAGGAGAATTGCCTGAACCCGGGAGGCGGAGGTTGCGGTGAGCCGAGATCGCGCCATTGCACTCCAGCCTGGGTAACAAGAGCGAAACTCCATCCCAAAAAAAAAAAAAAAAAAACCAATTTCTATTTGTCTATTATATCTCAATAAAGCTGAAAAACAAAACAAAAAACGAAAACCCAAGGTTTTCAGGGAGGAAGTCCTGGAGACAGGCGGCAGGATGCAGGGCACTATGACCCTCCTGCAGGGCCTTGCGCAAGTTGCTTAACTATGTGGATGTCAGTCTCTTTGTCTATAAAATGACAATAAAAATCTCTCTAACTTAGAATCGTTTTAAAAAATAAAATCGATGATGTATGTACAAGTCTTAGGGTAGTACCTGACATTATGTAAGCTTCTAGGCCAGGTGCAGTGGCTCCCGCCTGTAACCCCAGCACTTTGGGAGGCTGAGGCAGGTGGATCGCTTGAGGTCAGGTTCAAGACCAGCCTGGCCAACATGGCAAAACCCCATCTCTACTACAAATACAAAATTAGCCAGGCATCATAGCTGTAGTCCCAGCTACTAGGGAGGCTGAGGTGGGAGAATCACTTGAACCCAGGAGGCAGAGGTTGTAGGGAGCCAAGATCACACCACTGTGCTCCAACCTGGATGACAGAGAGACACTGACTCAAAGAAAAAAAAAAGCCTTCTAAGATATTCATAACTGTTGGCCCACAAACTCCCAAACCAGTGAACATAAAGTTTGGCCATTCATTCTCCTGATGTATGCACAGTCACTGCATGCTGGGGACAAAGGGTGTGTTTGTTTCTCTCTCTTTATTATTGGCCTTTTTTCATTTTTTCTTTTTTTTTTTTAATTTTATTTATTTATTTCTTTATTTTGAGACGGAGTTTCGCTCTTGTTACCCAGGCTGGAGTGCAATGGCGCGATCTCGGCTCACCGCAACCTCCTTCTCCTGGGTTCAGGCAATTCTCCTGCCTCAGCCTCCTGAGTAGCTGGGATTACAGGCACGTGCCACCATGCCCAGCTAATGTTTTGTATTTTTGGTAGAGGCGGGGTTTTGCCATGTTGACCAGGATGGTCTCGATCTCTTGACCTCGTGATCCACCCGCCTCGGCCTCCCAAAGTGCTGGGATTACAGGCGTGAGCCACCGCGCCCGGCCCATTTTTTCTTTTATTCTAAAATGTATGCACTCTTACACATACACTGGGAGTCTTATTTTAATCTGCCTCATCATATTTGAAGTAGACACAGTATAAATTTCTAAAACTTTAAAATAATAGAACCTCAGTGACAGCAAGGCCGCTTATTTTGCACATGGGAAAACCAAAACATCAAAAGAAGTTAGATGTCTCATTCAAAGTCCACATCTCCAGTTAAGAGCTAGATCTGCATTAGAACCTGCTAGAGACTGTGTGTCTCTTTTGAGTGGACAGACACCTCGACCGGGCCAGCCTTTGGCTGTGAGGAGTGCGGCCAGGGAACATGCTCTCAGGGTTAAGAGCAGTGAAGCACCCAACTTCAACTTCGGCCAGACCTGGCTTCAGCACCTCAACTCTGTGTTCCAGGATTATGAAGGCCAGGCAGCCAAAGGCCCAACTCAGCCTTCTTTCTGGAACTCTTCTGTACTTGTACATAATCGATGATCTTGTGATCACATGGATTACTACCATGCCTCTTTTTTTTTTTTTTTTTGAGACAGAGTCTCACTCTGTCGCCAGGCTGGAGTGCAATGGTGTGATCTCGGCTCACTGCAACCTCCACCTCCTGAGTTCAAAGGATTCTCCTGCCTCAGCCTCCCGAGTAGCTGGGATTACAGATGCATGTCACCATATCCAGCTAATTTTTCTATTTTTAGTAGAGATGGGGTTTCACCATGTTGGCAAAGACGGTTTCGATCTCTTGACCTCATGATCCGCCTGCCTCGACTTCCCAAAGTGCTGGGATTACAGGCGTGAGCCACCGCGCCTGGCCCCTACCACTGTGCCTCTCCTGCATCACCACATCAGTCGTGCCAGCAATGTCACCTGGATTTATTGCTAATATCAGAATATTCACTCCTAAATATGCAAATACATTTTAGGTGTAGTTTGGAAGGAAAGGTCTCCTTATTTTCTTTGTAGGTTGGAAGCCTCTCAGTCAACAGAAAATAGCTGTTGTATTTATTATTGTAAGAACAAAACACTACAATCATTAATGATGTTCATGGAAGCTGCTGCTTTTCATCCAGAAAAAGCTATTAACAACTTTTAAGTCATTAAATATGGACACAAATTGACAATACTAAATATCATAAGAGTCTACTAACTAGATATTTTTAGGAAGAATACCATATCCTTTTTGAACCAAAACATGCTTATAAAAATTAAATAATAATACAGGGCGAAATAATGGAGAATATATCTTATAGTGGATCTGACTTTTTAGACTTGTTTGGGGGTACGAGATTAATAACATTTTAAAAATTACCTATAAAGGCCAGGCATGGTAGCTCATGCCTGTAAGCCCGGCACTTTGGGAGGCCGAGGTGGGTGGATTACCTGAGGTCCGGAGTTCAAGACCAGCCTGACCAACATGGTGAAACTCCGTCTCTACAAAAAAAAAAAAAAATAGCTAGGCATGATGTCCTGTAATCCCAGCTACTCTGGAGGCTGAGGTGGGAGAATCCCTTGAACCCGAGAGGAGGAAGTTGCAGCGAGCTGAGATCATGCCATTGCACGCCAGCCTGGGCAACAGAGTGAGACTTTGTCTCAAAAAAAACAAAAAAACAAAACAAAACAAAATCCTATAAGAATCATATTAAATATTTAGTAATTTAATTCCATTTAATTCATGATTCTTGCTTCTCTGCAGGACTCAGTTGAAATTAAGTCCCTATTTAGAATTGCAAATGTGCAGCACTGTGGTGCAGAAGGAATCTAGCTGCCCAGGATGCTGATCAAGACCTACTGAACTGAAATGGCAAACTTTAAAAATTAACTCCAATTTTTGTTTTTTGTTTGTTTTTATTTTTGTTTGAAATGGAGTCTCGCACCATTGGCCTGGCAGGAGTGCAGTGGTGCGTTCTTGGCTCACTACAATCTCTGCCTCCCGGGTTCAAGGGATTCTCTTGCCTCAGATTCCCAAAGTAGCTGGGATTGCAGGTGCCGGCCACCACACCTGGCTAATTTTGTATTTTTAGTAGAGACAAGGTTTCACCATGTTGGCCAGGCTGGTCTCGAACTCCTGACCTCAAGTGATCCACCTGCCTCGGCCTCCCAAAATGCTGGGATTAGAGGCGTCAGCCGCTGCACCTGGCCAGACTCCAATTTTTAACAATAAAGTGTAATTACATTTTTAAGTCAGATTTCAGATTTGTTCTTGCATCCTCGAATTCATTGAGGGTGGTGCTGCTGCTTTTTCACTGGCTAAGAGCCTCTCAGCCCCCGTGTGTTTGCGCAGCTCCAGATGGAGGGGTGAGGGCAGGTCCTTCCGTGACCCCCTTCATGTTCCCTTCTCTTCTACCTCTGCTCCCGCAGCAGGGGAGGCCTGAGAAGGGCCTTGTTTTCCAATCTTCTTGTGCAGCTGGGAGAGGTGAGCGGGACTGGGAACTCAGATATCCCCAGCGTGCTCTGCGAGGCTGGCCAACCTGGCTCTGGGATGCACGGTTCCCGTGGCTGGACCATGGCAGGGGGTCTGGGGATGCCCAGCAGTGAGGAGCATGGTGGGTCACCTCTTGTGTATTTCTCTCCTTCCTCCCTGATAGTTTGTGAAGTTTGCCAACATCGAGGAGGATACCCCGTCCTATCACCGGAGCTATGACTTCTTTGTGTCCCGATTCAGTGAAATGTGCCACTCGAGCCACGATGACTTAGAAATCAAGACTAAGTGAGTAGGGGAAGGCAAGGGTGGTTGGTTCAGCCCACAGCAGAAGCAACAGTGGGTCCTGTAGATAATTTCCAACCCACCACTGTGTGTCTGCTTTCGTTAGTGTCTACTACGTCTGCTCTGATGTTGCCGGGCAGGCGGGCAGTGCCTGGCTCCCTACATGGGGTTTCTTTTCGTTTTTTTTTTTTTTTTTTTGAGATTGAGTTTCACTCTGTTGCCCAGGCTGGAGTGCAGTTGCATGATCTTGGCTCACTGTACCCTCTGCCTCTTGGATTCAAGTGATTCTCATGCCTCAGCCTCCTAAGTAGCTGGGATTACAGGCATGCACCACCAAGCCTGGCTAATACTTATATTTTTAGTAGAGACAGGGTGTCACCATGTTGGCCAGGCTGGTCTTGAACTCCTGACCTCAGGTGATCTGCCCACTTCAGCCTCCCGAAGTGCTGGGATTACAGGAGGGAGCCACCACGCCTGGCCCCCACATGTGGTTTCTAAAGTAAAAACTGCTTGGGCCGGACAAAGGGGCTCAATGTAAGATAACAGTCATTTGAGCCCAATTTGAGAGCCAGTGACAGAGCACATGCATGTACATACACCCCCACGTATACTCTTTGTTCAGAATTACATGCATTTCTACTCCAGAAACATGCCCACTCACCATTAACCATCAAAATCTATACCTACCAATAAAGAGACAAAGTATGCCCCTTGGCTGATCCCAGCTGCCTTCTCCACTCTATCTCCTTGGCCCTCCCGCTCACTCTTTCCCTTCCAGCACACCACAGAGACTGCCCCAGGGCCTTTGCACAGTCTGTGCTTGTGCCTGGAATGCTTCCTCCAGGGATCCGTACAGCTCACTGCGTCGCCTCTGTCAAACCTTTGCTCAAATGTCCCCTTGTCAGTAAAGCCGCCCTGCACACCCCCACATGCCCACTCCCTACTCCCTCACTCTGCTGGGGTTTCTTTCCCTTTTTGGAAGTTTCATAAATTACCTTCTGTGTTTCTTGTTCACCACCTGTCTCTTCCCACTGGAATGTAAGCTCTATGAGGGCAGGGTCTGTCATTTTACTCACAGATGCATCCCAAGCACTAACATTGCCCGGAGAGCAGTAGCACTTGATAAATTCTTGTTGAATGAATAACAGAATGAATGAACACTTTAAGACAAGCAACTTGCCTTATGGGATATGCTTTTATATGCACACACTCCAATTTATAAAAACACTTAGTTGACAGAAGTATACTTGAACATAGAAGCAAAACCCCTCAAGTAAAATCACAGAGAAATTGACCAAGTGCAATGGCTCACGTCTGTAAGCTCAGTACTTTGGGAAGCTGGGGCAGGAGGATCACTTGAGCCCAGGAGTTTGAAGCCAGCCTGGGCAACATAATGAGACCCTGCCTCCACAAAAAATAAAATTAGCTGGGCATGACTGCACCATGGCTATATTCCCAGCTACTTAGGAGGCAGAGTTGGGAGGATCACTTGAGCCTGGAAGGTCGAGGCTGCAGTGAGCCATGATTGCACCACTGCACTCCAGCTTGGG